ACAAGTACCCGGGCGACGTCCACCCCGTTGATGTCCATGGTGATGACCAATGGATCATTGTGATCTTCACCGGTAGGAGGGAGGTCCCGGTCAGTGAAGACTATTGGCTCCCTCCTGGGATACTTACGCCTGGCCGGTTCGGCATTCACCTCACCAACGTAAATGCTGCGAACCCAGTTTTTCCGCTGCGCGGCTGAATCTCCTCCTTCGGGTCCGCCAAAGATCATCCCAATATGTTCTTTGTCAGGGGCTGGTTGTTGCTCCCTTTGCCGGTTGTTCCTCCGCCGGTCATTTCCCTGGGTCGCTGCCTTACCCATTGATGGTTCTTCTCCTGGGCTTTCTGCAGATAATCCTTGCCCAGTTCTCCGCTGTCTATCATCTGCCGGATTACCCCCTTAACACTCTTGCATTCGGAAGTGCTATGGGAATCTGACCTGTGGTATGAACAATAGGTGCCCGACCACTGACGCCCAGCTTGACCGGTAGGATTGTCCGGGGGATTGACCGGTGCTTTCCTGATCTCCTGGCATTCTTCTGAATTGACCACTCGGACTACCGGGTCATAGTGGTGCCTTGGCCGGCTGGGTACCGGCACTTCTTCCTTCTTGACTTGCACCGGTTTGGGCTTGTAACCATGCTCGGCTTCTTTCTTCGCCCGGAGTTGAGTTTCTGCCTCTGCGAACTCCTATGCAGTATGGTATGCTTCCTGATACGTGGCCGGGGGTTTCCGGCAGAACTCCTTGTAAAGTTCCCCAGCTCGCAAACCATTCAGGAGGAGGGACAACACTGTCTTGTCATCCATCTCCTCAACCTTGTCTACCTCCTCCTTCCACCGAGTAAGGAATTGGGTGAGGTTCTCAGATTCCCTCTGCTCGGCTGTACTAAGATAGGTGAATTTCTTCCTCTTGGTACAGTTCTCCTGGAACTTGGCCTTGAACTTCGAGGCTAAGTCGCTGAATGAGTCAATGCTTCCCGGGCGAAGCTTGTTGAACCACTCGGTGGCTCGATTCCGCAAGGTCTGGAAGAAAAAGAGGCACTTTTCTTTATCTGTGCAACCGTTCATGGTTGCACTCTAATTGAAGGAGTCCAGGTGGATTTCTGGGTCCTCCTTATCGGTGAACCTTGGGGCGTCTATCTTAACCTTTCGCGGGAAAGGTGTCAGATGGACCCTTGTGGTGAACGGGGACCCTGCGAGGGGTTTGTCCCGGTCATTCTTCTCCCCGACCTTCTTCTCCAGCCTTTCCAATTTCGCCTCCATCTGTTGGACGCGATCATTGGGGGTGGTTAACCGGTTAGCCACCGGTACCCTGGGTTGGCTTTCTGCCTCTTCCTCCTGGCGAGAGGCCCTCGTCCTGGCTGGCTCCTGCCGGTTTGACCAGGAGCGTTGGGTGCGGGCAGGCTCGGCCTCCCTCATCTCGCCTAACCGGGCGAATGCGCTGACATGGGCAACGCTTTGCCCCAGCCTTAGCTTGGCTGATTTTCTCTGGCCCTCTTCCCTTTCCCCCAGCCTTTCGAAGGCGGAGTTTCGGGAAGTTGATGGGCGGATAGTCTTTCCCTTCTTTTTCTTGTGGGTCCTTGGAATGTCCCACTCGTCGTCTCCGCTTTCAACCGAGACGCAGTGACCATCCGGAGTGATTAGCGGATTCGTACCTTGCGGGGGACGCGAGGGCCCTGCGGATGGGAGCCACAGCGCTGACTAGCTGCGGCTGGAAAGGTGATGGTTGCGGTACTGGCGTTTGGAAGGGAGACACCGCCATTGGAGCTTGTAGGGGCATGGTTCCCGCACCTGGGAGAGCGAACGGGAACATACCAGGGAGAAAAGGCATCCCCCCATTCTGTTGGCACATAGCCATGACCTGGCCAAAGCCCTGGATGGCCTGCAGGTTGGCGGGGTCATTCATGAACTGAGCCATGCTTGAAGGGAAAGTGACCCTCGGCCCAGCGGAAGGGACGTGAGCCGTGAATGGGCTGACCATGCTGGGTGTTAGAACCGAGCTTAGTCCCAATGGCAAAACCGGAGCAGAAACGGTTGGCAAGGTAACAACCATGGGGATGTTGGTACCTTCAGTGGTGGCTTGCACCTGAGCAGGGGTGGCGTTGATTTGCTGGCTTGAAGACATTTTGAGTGGTGTTTTTGTGGGTAGGTTTGTATAAGAGAAGAAACCTTAACGGCCCCACGGGCGGCGCCAAAAATGATGGTGTAAATTACTTGACCGGTCAAACTATACTAGACCGGATCTAGAATAGTTGGCTTGATTTAGTAAAATAAAGAAAGTAAGAACACTCAGTGTGACCGGTAGGACTTTAGGTGGAACACCTGTAGCCCGAATTATATTATAACAGAGAATGCACGGTCACTTTTACAAGGGAGTTTAGAGAGAGTGAATTCGGATCCCTCTCTCCGAGAATTACAAGAGGTATATATACTAGGCTAGGGGGGCAGGACCACGCGCGCCCACGTGGGGGCATGCTGCTGGCGTGGTGTGAGGTGACTGGCTCTGAGCTGCCTTGTCATCTTGCGAGGGGGGTTGCGCCCTTGTCGTGTTCTGGCTTGGAAATGTTCCTTCGGCATCTCTGCAATTCCAACCACTACAGTCCAAGTCCTTTTGGATTCCCCCTGCCGACAATCTCCATCCTCTAAAAACTACACCGGTTGATCCCTGAAGGTTGGATTAATTGACTTCGGAATTGATTCCTGACGATGGAGTAAACTGACCGGTATACTATCTGAAGTATACCGGTCAACTTCATCGGTCAACCAGTCGTCCATCTGCCAACGATTCAGATCTCTCTCCTGAGTTTGACCCCCTTTGACCGGTCAACTATCCGGTCCTAACCTTTGACCGGTCTTGGGTGAAATACACCCATCAACCACAATCATATTCGTGCTAAAATAAGAAAAAAGAAATCTAAGAAAGATATTATATCGAATCCCAAATGAATTTAGTTTCCTTATTTTGTCAACATCTTATACCAACACCCACCATCAAGCTGGAGCATGTGGGGTTTGCATTTCTAGCTTGGACAACAAAAGGTTGAACAAAACTTGAGGAAGTCGGTCCCATCGTTGTCCAAGTATCATCCAAAGACTTAAATTTTTATCTTCTTCGACGGATATGCCAAACTCTTTGAATTCACCAAATAATAAGTCGAGCAAAGGGATGTCATTCTTTTCGAAGCTTCACCCTATTCGAACGAACAAGAGGAATGTCATTATTTTTGAACACCCTAAATGCCAATTTTTTGTCGTCCGCAAAAGAAAGAATTGTCTGTCTTTATAGAAATGTTCTTCAATGAAGCAACCCTGTGATTCTTTAGTGAGAGAAAGCTATCAAAAAAATCAAAAGATTATAATATTCTACCGGTAGACATTGAATTGTGTATGCCCACCGGCATGGTAAAAAGCATGTTTCAGGTTTCAAGAATTCAAAACATGCTTCTGATACCATGTAGAAAATAGTAAATGAAAAATATTTTTGTACTGATTTGTGTTAAAGATTACAAATGTTAAAAAAACAAACTGTGACAATCTATTAGGGATGAAAGAGGTATCTTTTACTCCCTCCGTCCCTAAATATTCACAACATTTGCTTTTTCAGCAGTCGCGGGAACTTTTGTTTATTTCGACGTTTTCATTGGTTATTTGATAAAATAAAATATTCTTGACACCTCTTATTTCGAAGAACTTTTCATGTAGTTTTTTTATATGTAATTTTTATTTTTTATTTCTTTACCAATATGTAAATAAAATGAATTGAAAAAACATGATATCTTGCCTCGGTAATAGAAATGTGACAAATAATTTGGGACGGAGGAAGTATAAGAGTATTTTAAAAATAATGATTCTTTTTTTGCTTCTATTTTGGATGTTTTTATGATCATTACATTCTCTCTTTCTATATACCAGCCACAACCCACAAGAATACAAAATTCACCTTATGGTGCCGAATCAAATGATTAAGAAGAGTTTTCAAAAAAAAAAAAGAACAAGGAAACCATGAAATGGAAGGAATGTTTATTGCTTGCTATGTAAAGTTACAAAGGCGATAGAACAAAAGCACCAGTGGTCTAGTGGTAGAATAGTACCCTGCCACGGTACAGACCCGGGTTCGATTCCCGGCTGGTGCATTTTTTTTTGTAACTCGACTCGTCCCAAATCTCCACAAAAAATTCTAGAGTTTACCAACCGTATATGGTAAAAATTCGCCCAAAAGTCTATCCCTTTTCACCGTGGGTGATTTTCTTTATCTTCTATTTTTTCACCCACTGGGCTCTCACATCCAATCTCCTCCCATGTATATGTTCATGGCAATCACATTCAAAATAAATGTGATTATAATGTATGACTATTTCCATCTTGGTATCTTTCTATTTCTTTTTAAAAAAAATTACTCGTATTTCTTTTTAATTCAAGAAGATGGACAAATCTTTTGTTTTTTGTATCGAGGTATTGATTTTTGTAATAACCTTTGGTGAGTTTATAATTGGAATTGGTATGATGGGTAATTCTTCATTTTGAAGACAACCTCATTCTAACATTGACAATTTGTATCATGAAATTGCTTGGAATGAATGCTTTGTTTTGTTTTCAAAGGTTTAATATTTGTCTAATTTTTCAGGCTTTGAAGAACCAATGCAAATGCATATCATGTCTTTTGGTCTTGAAGGTGAAAATGACTCTTTTTCTCATTTCTGATTTTTTAGATCATACACTTAAGATCTTCTTGTTCTAACACAAATACAGTCGTTAATAATTTTTTGGTTTATACACATTCAAATGGGCTATAGAAGGATTCTTCATTGCACACGGTTAAATTGATAGGTATTTTTTCTGTCATTATGTTTATGAGTTTCTTGAGAAATTCTCTTCTACGGCCACATCATGTCTAGTAGATAGAGTAAAAAAATACGGCGAGTTTAATTTTTGAGAAACTCTCTTATCAGGAAGATGAAGCTCCCTTGTACCTATTACAAGGAACCTTCTCTGCATCTAGAGAAGAAACAACACGACTTACGAATCTTCTCCAAAGTGTTAAATAAAGGTTTGGATTCAAAGCCTTGGAGAAAAGCGGTACCTCTTCATCGTTTCGCTTGTATGAAGAAGTCCCAATGTGAGGAAGAAATGAAGAAAGAATCGACTTTGCCGTGGGATATGATTGATCTTTCAATGTTGTTTATTGGGCTCAAATTTGCTAGTGGTTCACATAGTCAGCTTTACCATGGGATATACAAAGACGAACCCGTTGCAGTCAAAATGATGAGAGTGCCAGATGAAGGAAATTACCAAGAATGCGATAAGTTAGTCCATCAGTATAATAGGGAAGTCGCTCTATTGTCTCGTCTTCTCCATCCAAATGTTATCGAGGTAAAAATCATGTCTTTACATGTTTCACATTATTTTTCTCATCCATATTATTGCTATAAAAATCTATGATTAAGCCATTGACTCTCTATGAATCATGTCTTTATATATTAGGATTTGAGTTGTCTGTTAGAATATAAAAATGTTTTCTGACCTGAGAGCCACAAAGTTGAGTTTTTGGTTGAGTTGATTCCTTAAAATGTTACGAGTATTATAGTCTCGTTGACCTAGAGGTCAGAAGTTCATGCAAAAATAATTAGTTGCTTGCACGTGAAGGGCGTGCTAGAGTATAAAACTGTTCCCGGGCCTACACTCATCACAAATTTGAGTTCGTTGGTTAAGTTGTTTCTTTTACCAAAATGTAAAATCTTTTTTCAATTTGACAACACATTTACCATGGTCTTTTATGATTGTGGTTATGTATTATCTATTACAGCTAGTAGGCGCAATAAAAAAGCCACCAGTGTATTGCATTGTGACAGAGTATCTCTCTGCGGGTTCCTTAAGAGCATACCTTCACAAGCTGGATCACAAGTCCGTTCCCATGAAGCTATGGATTGTGATGGCTTTGGACATTGCAAAGGGAATGACATATGTTCATTCCCAAGGCATTATCCATAAGGACCTCAAACCTGAAAACATATTAATAAACACAGATTTTCAATTAAAAATTGCTGATTTTGGGATTGCTTGTGAGGAGGCGTGTTGCGATCTTTTATGCGATGATCCAGGTACGTACCGAGATGGCACCCGAGATGATCAAACGCAAGCACTACGATCGCAGAGTCGATGTGTATAGTTTCGGGCTTATTTTGTGGGAAATGATGAATGGTTCTGTCCCTTATGAGGGAATGACTCCCATGCAAGCTGCTTTTGCTGTAGTTAACAAGGTAAAATTCTACTTTAGAGTCTCTTATTTTAGCCACAATTTAGATCCTCAATTGATAGAAATATTAACTCGTTCTTTTGACATTGGAATCTAACGCTATAATTTGACGACTTAGCTCAATGTGTACAATATCATAGTAATGTAGGTCAAGGCGATGATAGATAGTCCCAACACAAGGATAATTTTATACATTAACACATTGACTTTTCTCTTCATCTAATACAAGAAGCTAACAGGTACAAAATCATCACAATTTTTTTCTATTCAGAATCTGAGACCAAAAATTTCTGAAGATTGTCCCGAAGCCATGAAAGCATTGATAGAGAGATGTTGGTCTATGCAGCCAAAAAAGAGGCCTGAGTTTTGGCAGATTGTGAAGGTATTACAGCACTTTAAGACTTTACTTACTAATTTTGGGACTTTGAATATAGTTCCACATCTAAGATTTCAAGATCACAGAAAGGGAATTTTTTGGTGGATCCAAAAACTTGATCCCAAAACTGAGTTTTCTTAATTTTTTGTGCATCATATGACTTTCTTGTATAGAATACCATTGTTATGTGCTAGAATAACATTTTGTAATCTTAGTGATTTTTTAGTGTTGATAAGTCATAACAACTATTGTGAATATTTGGATCTTTCATTGAAATGTAAATATGGTGTTACATGTTTGATTTTAAACAAATGCTAATTGAAATCTAATTTATTTAAATTTTAGTGTAAAATGTAAAAAAATTACTCTCTCTCTGTTTGTGTGTATATATATGTGGGTGTGTGTGTGTGTGTGTTTGTGTGTGTGTGTGTTCAAGTGAGAATGAGACCTAAGGGTCATAAAAATTTGAAAAATAAGAAAAAGTTAGAAAAAATGTGGTGGCAATCCTGTAATTAAAGCAAACTTTTTAAAATGCACTACCGGCTTTAAAAAATGCACCATGACGAACTACTTGCTTTTAAAATTTTGTTATTGGTGAATAAAAATGTATCATTCTCATTTCTTTCACCAAGATTCATTCACACGTAAATATATATTTATACACACACACATATATACATACTTGTGTTTGTTTGTGTGTGTATGTGTGTCTACGAAAAAACAAGAGGTGATATGATTACAGTATTGATTTAACAAATGATCAACACAAATTAGTAGATAAAGGAATAGATAATTTGACATGTGTTTATTGGCTTTGTTTGAAAATAATATTTTCAATTATTGCTAGTGTTTTGAATTGTATTTTGAAAGTACGTATATATTAATTTTGAAAAGATTAAAGCTAAACGTTGTTATTAGATAACTTTTTTTCAAAATGTTAAGGTTGAACGTTGATGTTGCCAAATGAGTATGTTTAACACTTTAGAGAAGAGATAAATATTCTGAACCATATAATACATTTATCTTGAAAAGAAATAAAATAGAAAATCTTTTTTTGGACAGAAAAAAAGTACTCAGTATAATTTTTTTCGAGCGGCAACCGTATCACCATTTTGAAAAAATTATCGCACTACACTATCCAACGTCAATATTTTCAAAATTAATTTATATTATTAAAAAATTATTCAAAATACTAATATTAGTCGAAAATGATACTAGTACCCAACAAAATAGAAGTCTTTATTTCTAAAAGTGGGATCCGATGGGCTTTTGATATTGGATAGTATATTTTGGGCTTGGATATCACACAATATAAATAAATCCCGGCCCAGAATTGTTCAAGCCGTAGCAAACCTTCTCTGTCTGTCTAGGGTTTATATCTTCGTCTTCCTGTTTCGGACTCGTCTCTTCTTCGTGGTAACGTTCCCTGAGACTGCACTGAAAAAATGGTGGGATTTGAAATCGGTCCTGTCCCGTTCAACCCAGACGGATGGGGACCTCCGGATTCGATCGTCGCCGGCTCGATTTCCGTTCCCAATCAACCATCAAACGTGCCATTTGCGCCATTCTCTCGCTCGGAAAAGCTTGGTAGGATCGCCGATTGGACTCGGAATCTGGGAAACGCATCCCGTGGATCGAACAAGCAGAATCAGGCAGACTCGGCTTTCGATTTTTCCACAGACGAGTCCTTCGGAAACCTAGCCGGTGACGATGAATCGTCATTCCGCCTTGTGGATACTGCCGCCAAGTCTCACCACCAAGGCCAACACCGTCCCAAATTCAATCCTCGGTGGCGCTTCAATCCCCATCACCAGCGGTCTCAGCTCCCTCAACGCCGTGATGAGGAGGTGGAGGCTCGTAAGCGTGATGCTGAGAAGGAACGGGCTCGCCGTGACAAGCTGTACAATTTTAATCGCTCTGGCATGAACGCAGGTCAGCGCCGCGAGTCTTCAGTGTTCAAATCCTCTGTGGATATCCAGCCTGAATGGAATATGCTTGACCAGATCCCGTTCTCCAGCTTCTCCAAGCTCTCCTTTACGGTCCCAGAACCTGAAGATTTGCTTATCTGTGGTAGCTTGGAGTTCTATGATAGGGCTTTTGATCGTATTACTCCAAGGAATGAACGTCGTCTGGAACGATTCAAGAATCGCAATTTCTTTAAGGTAACTACTACAGATGATCCTGTCATCCGCCGCTTAGCTAATGAGGATAAAGCCACTGTCTTTGCTACAGATACTATTTTATCCACATTAATGTGTGCTCCTAGATCCGTTTATTCGTGGGATATAGTGGTAGAGAAGGTTGGAAACAAACTGTTCTTTGACAAACGGGATGGATCTCAGCTGGACTTGCTCTCTGTGCATGAAACATCTCAGGAGCCCTTGCCTGATGTTAAGGAGGATATAAATTCAGCTCACTCATTGAGTGTTGAAGCAGCATATATAAACCAGAATTTCTCACAGCAGCTTCTGGTTAGGGATGGGAACAAGCTCACCTTTGAAGAGCCCAACCCGTTTGCTACTGAGGGTGAGGAAGTAGCATCTGTGGCTTACAGGTATAGAAGATGGAAGTTGGATGACGATATGTATCTGGTTGCCCGATGTGAGGTCCAGAGTGTGGTGGAAGTTAACAACAACAGGTCTTTCTTGACACTGAATGCTCTGAATGAGTTTGATTCAAAGTATACCGGGGTTGACTGGAGACAGAAGCTGGAGACTCAGAGGGGTGCAGTTTTAGCCAATGAATTGAAGAACAATGCCAATAAGTTAGCCAAATGGACCGCTCAGGCGCTCTTGGCTAGTGCTGATATGATGAAACTTGGATATGTTTCTCGTGTTCATCCTAGAGATCACTTTAACCATGTCATATTGGCTGTGGTAGGGTATAAGCCGAAAGACTTTGCAATGCAAATTAATTTGAACACATCTAATATGTGGGGGATAGTGAAGAGTATTGTGGACTTATTTATGAAGTTGAGTGACGGGAAATATGTGCTTGTTAAGGACCCTGCTAAGCCACAAGTGAGGATTTATGATGTTCCTCCTGATGCATTTGAGAATGAGTATGTCGAGGAGCCTTTACCAGAGGAGGAACAGGTTCAGCCACCTGCTGAGGATGAAGCAGAAACCGGTGATGCAAATGGTGTTGCAAATGATGTAGAGGAAAAGGAAGTCAGCACCGAAGCTGCATAAGGTGTTATAGGTTAGTCTCTTGATTTTTTTTAAATGAGTTAATGGGTAAATACTTTCATGTTTATTTCTTCGTATTGATACATTGATACATAATCTCTCAGTTCCAATATAACTTCTTGCTTTAAGAATTGGTATACTTATTCTTGAATGAGTAAAATTTGACTTTGAGGTTTTTCTGATTTCAAACCAACTGAGTAATATGTGATCGGAATTCACTCATTAATGCCTTATTGGATAACATACATAAAGATTAAAATGTACTAACTCTAAAAGATCTTCTATTGCCGGGCATAGTTTTTCTATACATTACACGGAGAACTAAGTTATAGCCTATAGTTCCTATTGAAACTATTAACATTTGCCAATTTTGCTTGTTTTTCCTGCTTCCAAAAGGATCAGAATCAATAATGCAGCACTGACCAAGTTTGCCATTAATCCTAACACTTGATTTATTCTTATCGTTGATTGAATTGAATTGCTAAGACAAGCTTCAAGCTGTTTAACTAAAATATCTGAAAGTCTTGGTAAGGATCCATTCATAACTTGTTAAACTTGATTAATAAGTTGACTAAAACTAAGTGGTTGCTTAATGGAACAATGTTCATTTTATTTGGGACTGAGGGAGTATTGGTTTAAAGTGGTGTAGATTGGATACTCTATTTTTCAGTGTTGACTGGCCGGATGATCACTACCAAAAATACATCTGTTCCTCTAGGCCTACTTCGGAATTTCATGTACACTATGTTTAGTTCATAGAATTTGAGAGGGAAACAAAAAGAAAATGAGAAGGAAAACATTTTTCTTGTATGGTAGAGAGGAAAAGAAAAGAAACGTGGAAGGAAAAGAAAATGAGAAGGCAAAATGTACTTAAAGGAGGGAAAAGACCAAGTTCCTTCCATTTCGGTGAGGAAAATGAGAGAAAGCCATTTTCTTTTCTTTTCCTTCCAAATTCCTTGAACCAAACATAGTGGTAATATGAAGGCATAGTGGTGAACCTTATCCCTCACTCCATCTTGTCCAAAACTCTCTCTTCTTCATGTCAAGGAAATTATTGAGTGCATATTCTTTTTCTTCTAGATACTGCCTTTGTCACTAAATTATGTTCTAGGTTTGACTTGGCAAGCTTTTTATTAAAGTAAAATTTGTGTGGTTGAACTTTGTTCAGAAGAGAGTAAGAAGGCAAATCACCAACTCTTTGTTAAGGGAAGTGAGAAAATTTTGGAATGCCCTGAAAGTCCAAATGGGAAATACGAAAGAAGGAAATGGGACAGTAATACAATGCCCACTTTCATAAAAACTTGTGAAGCCAAACCGGAAATTTAAATGGCGACATATGGGAGTAGATGATTATCTTAATCTTTCTCCGAAGGCAAATGCACAACAATTTTCATCTTTTCGATTCTTCCTCTCGTCTTCAAGTTACTTCATAGCTAATTGCCATCATCTATTGTTTCCAGGCTCTTCCAGTTTGCTGAGTAAAACCCACTGGCAATGTGCCACTGAATATGCAGCAGATAAAGGGAGAATAACAGGCTGCTTGCCAGGAAGGTTTCAATCACCTCTTTAGATTTCTGCACATTTTCCTTTTTTCAAAAAACTTGAATTTCATAACTTTTTTTTTTTTTCCTTTCATGGGTCCTGGGAAGCAGACTATGTTTGGGTTTTGAGGGGAGGGATGGTTTTAAGAGCCTTTTTGTTGCTTACATATGAACTTCATGGAGGGAGTCTTTGTACCAATTCATTTATGGTTGATTTAAGGCAGGACTCTTTCTTTTCTGTTTCCATATGTGACACATATTGACATGGATGAAGCCCATATATTTATCATTCGGGTTCGATTTCAAGTGTTACCACCTAAAATTTTCATGCCTCATCCGCCACAAACCCTTCCCCTAGGAGACCCGCCCGTCATTCATTTCTACTCACTTTTTTTAGACGTCTATAAAAACGCTTTAATTTTATTTTTTTAAAACAAGTTTTAACCATGCATTTTCATTTTTTAAATACCTTTTATAAATTTTGTGAAAGTAGTGTAAAACTTATTGGGATGGGAAAAACATATTTTGACATGGGACTTTCCGAAATCAAATTCTACCTTTTCTTTTTTGTTTTTTTCTTTGTGTCAATTACACATGTTTGTTATACTGATAGGGTAAATTTCACCAATGGTACCTGAACTTTAGCTGGAATTTCGAAGTGGTACCTGAACTTCAAATCCTTTCACAAAAATCCCTGAACTCCTTTTACTAATGAGCCATTAGCCCGTTTCTAGGTTAACTTCCGGTCATTAGGGCCAAATTTGAATTTTATATATTTTAAAATTTTCAATTTGACCCCATTTCTTCTTTTCTTTTCTTCCAGGCCCCGCCGCCGCCCGCCGGCCAAAGTCGCCGGAAAATGAACTTTTTCCGATTCTGGCGAGACCAATGTCATTCTCTTCGTCTTGAGACGAGGATCAATAATATCCAAACCATTTTGTCTAATTTTGTCTGTAACTTCTCGAATTTGAATTTTTCTACTCGAAAAAATCCTAAAATTCGAAATTGAATCCAAAATGGGGGGTTTTGCAAATCGTCATCAAATCTTGCAATTGAAGGGTCCTTGGAGGTTGCCCGGATGCCACGACCACATTGGACTTGGTGCCCGCCGTCAAAATTGAGAATGAGTTTATATTTAATGGTCTTAGTTTGCTTCTCCTTCCATCACACCAGCATACTCAAACCACATTAAGATTTGAATTCACGATCCCTCTTACTATTCTTTTTTCTTATTGACAAATATTTTGGTCGACCTTAGGTCTTCCTTGGTTTTGTAACCTTATTTAATATTTTAATCTTTTTAATGTTAATAAGAGGGTGTTTGGTACTGCAATGCTTTTAAGAATTTAGTTTCAGCTTTTGAGTGGAATTAATTTTAATCTGTTTGGCATGTCAGTTTTTGCTCTTCTTCATCACTATTTTAGACATAGAATACCATTTTAAAGCAGTTATGAGGTGTTTTTACTTTCAGCTTTTGTAAAGATTACTTTATCTATAAGTTAATCACTTTCAAACTTCCTCTAAATCTATTAAGATTATGTGAATAGGTTTACATATTATCGAATACATGCCACGTTAACCCTGCTTCTCCTATGCACATCCTCTAATCAAAACAAAAAGTAAAAATAAAAAAAACAAGTATATAAGTATATAACATAAAAATTCTCATTCAAGCTGCCTAAAAGTTGGCAGGCTAGTTGCAAATCTAAATCTAATCATTTGATGCTGCTATGACATATCCTTCGAACAAATTTTTTTTGTCTTGACATATACATATATAGGCTATAGCCCATGTTTTCTGGCCTTTTTCCTCCAACTTACTTCAAAGGGTGTCATACATAGGCTATAGCCCGTGTTTTGTGGCTTTTTTCCCTTGCAAATTCTCGTATAAACAATCCATAATGAAAAAAAGGATAAGCCTCATTCCCGAGGGGTCTTTCGGACCCGGCTAGACGATCAATGAGAGGAGATAAGTTGAATTTTGATCTTGGTAGCAACGGGTGGAACATGCACCTGGTACTTGCAGAGATCATATGCTTAGCATAATTTTCTTACAGCGCAGTTGCCAAAAATCGAACTCAGGTATTACCTTCTTGACACTCTTTTCCTTTGCCAACTGCGCAACGCCTACAGACATCTATAATAATCATTCACATAAATAAAATATAGAGTAGGCATTATGAAGTACTATGTTGGAAGTTTCCACATGAGAAAAACTAATAAAATACTAGTAGCATATACTCCCTCCGTCCCGGAGTATTCGTCCAGATTTGATTTTTGGAACTGTTCATCTAAGCACTTTGACTCATCAAAATCTCTCAATATGTAAGCCTAAATCTAGTTATGTGTGATTTTGTTTGATTTGTCTTAACATATAGATTGTTAATATACAATTTCTATAATTTTTAATATACAAATTACAAGATAAAGTGGATTAAAGAAGTGTATTGGATGGTGTGTAAAAATAAAAGTGGATAAATACTCTGGGACGGAAGTAGTGTAAAAGATTGAAACGATATCCATCACCTTAAGTTTTTGGGTTAAAAGTGGATCATGATTTTATGTATAAATTATTTATTTTATTTGACATTTCACCCTCGTTGTTCATGGGCCACCAAAATCTTGACATGGAATCAACGTAGATCTTGCCAGGTTCATTTCTTTCTAGTTGACGTGAGTTTAGTTATATTAGCTACCATCAGTGGTTGCGATTGAGTTGGTTATAAGAGATTATGATGTCACCACCCGTAGTGTAGATTAGGTATAGAGAGATTAAGATGTTAGATATGTTTGTCTAAGTATATTAATTAGATGTGGCTAGTTACCATTTGAGAGGAAGTGTTGGGAGCTCTTCCATTGTAAAATTTAATGAGATAGCACTAGCATATATAGAAAAGTGAAACCCTATCCATCGACGTAAGTATTTTATATTCTATGTATTCCTAAAATATTATACTACTTCTCACCATTTCCCACATCCAAACATAACCTAACATATCGCCTTTTGGATTTTACTTCAGACGTTTCGGTGTTAGCGTTTCATTTTTCAATGTTCGTATAACGTAATATTCCTTAACATATTTACTAAAAAAAGACACAGTTCGATTTAAGATGAAGAGCTAAATATAATGATATATTTTATTCTAAATATCGCTACAAATTGTTACACCTATTGAAATTATTGATATGTTTTTAAATTCAAAATACTCCAAGAATCATCAACATAGTGACGCTACATTGATATGTTCTTTGATTCTTTTTCATTGTTCAAGTTCTGGATTACAATCATGTTCACCCTCCTTTGACTTTTGATAGTTCTCATGAAATTACTCAATATATGGAGTATTGCATTTCATAATGTTTAACAAATGTTATGCGTATCACGACAATTCACTGTCCCCCGAAAAATTAGCCCCAACCACTTCACAGGAGGAAGATATTTTTAAAACATTAATTTTAAATTTGATTAAAAAAATAAAGTTTAATCCTAGTGTTACAAGCCAATGTTTGACTAACATGTTTTTTATATCTAACAATCTTTGTGAGTATAAAGGGAATCTACAATTTGATGTACTTCCATGATGAATTGAGAAGAAACTAATGCTTAACATCTTGTTTGCATTATCAAAGGAAGTATTTTCAATGCCCATGTCAACTTTACAAGTGATATACAAATGTTGTTCATCTCGAAACATACTTACTCATCATCTTACAGAACTAAATACTGAATTTCTAGCCTACCATGACTTAATATTTGTAAGATTGTGTTCGATTCAGATGTTAAACGATTTTTTTAAGTTTTTACAATAATAAAATAAAATAGAGAGTGAGATTTTAATCCATGACCTTGGGCACACATTATATTCCAAGATACTAACCATCTAAGCTACCAAATACTCCCTCCGTCCCCCATAGATCTTCCTAATAGTCCTTTTTCTTTGTCCACAATAGTTCTTCTCATTTCATTTTTTAACAATTAAAATACCACAACTACCCCCACTTACTTTATTTATTACACCCCACCCACACCATTTAATACACTCCACCCATTTTTCATTAAGGGTATTATGGTAAATTTTCACTTTTTTTCAACTCTCCTTAAAAACCACCAAAAGTCAAAATGAGAACATCTTAGGGAGACGGAGGGAGTACCTTATTTCTAAAGTCATGCAAAACGGTATACATAGCCTTTGTCATAGTCCATATATGAGTTGTGTAAACTTTTGTTTTTATAATAATTCAAAGTAAAATAAAAGTTATTTTTGATTTGATCTGATTTAATTTAAATAAAATTAAATAATAAGTAAGAAAAATAAATTGAGAAGAATATGACATAATTATTTAATTAAGCATAACCGTCCTCGCTGTTACGTGTTAATCCAAACCGTTTTTCACGGCCCCTCATGCTATCTCCATGCGACTGAAGTCAAAGTTACACCGACGCTGTCGTGCACGCGCCGCAAAGTCGCGTGGGCGGACCAAAGTCCCCCCAACAAAACATTTCGTACCAAACCGAAGACTCAAAAGGCGATGCCCGAAAACTCTCTCTTCTCATTCCCCCACACTCTCTCCTTCTAACTTTCTTTATTTCCCGGCGACTCTGCTTCCGGCCGCCGTGTTTCTCTCTCTAGAATCCGACCCGGCGATGGAAGCCCCGTTAATGCGTCTAATGTCTTCTTCCCCTGACACCCACAGAAGTAATAGTTCAAGCAGCAGCACCAGTAGCACTACCCACAGCAATGGTCCGGCGCCGGCGGCGGCGCCGTCGCCTCGGCCGGCGCAATCCCCGCGCCCGCCTGTACTCCCAGTCACCAGATCCGACCCGAATAACCCTTACCCGACCACCTTCGTCCAGGCCGACGCTTCCTCTTTCAAGCAAGTGGTCCAATTTCTCACCGGATCCTCCGATACGGCCAAGCTCGCCACCGCCTCCTCCTCCGCCCGATCCGAACCGTCGCGGAGCCCGATCCCGCCGGTCAAGACCGGCACCACGAAGAAGGAGAAGTCCGGCGGGTCGAGGCTGTACGAGCGGAGGAACAGCCTGAAGAATTTCAAAATCAACCCTTTGGGTCCGGGAGGATTCGGGTCTCCCCGGCCGGGCACGCCGGAGTTTCTGTCGCCGAGCATACTCGATTTCCCGTCGCTGGCGCTCAGTCCGGTGACTCCGCTCATACCCGACCCGTTTAACAGATCTCCCACCCTGAACATGGAGGCTGAGGAGAAGGCCATCGCCAAGAAAGGGTTCTACCTCCACCCGTCTCCGGCGAGCACCCCGAAGGATTCGGAGCCCCGACTTTTACCCCTCTTTCCACTCACCTCTCCCAGAATCTCAAGTTCTCTTCATTCTCATTCTTGAGTGAGTCTTTTTTTTTTTATTTTAAAATTACTAATCTGTTGTTATAATCAAGAAATATTCCAATCTCATAATTATTGTTATTATAATTGTTGTCATTGTGGACTTTTTATGTAATGAGGATCTTGAAAATCTGGGAAAATAATTATAAAATTAAATAAGAAAAAAAAAAGAAGAATTGGTTCAAGTGTAAATGAAATATAATTTGTGTGATTTTTGTTGGTTAGTGTGGGGTTTTCATGGTGCTGAATTTGATCAAATTTTATGATTGACTGCAGAATTATTTCTTTGCTATTTATGTGTGTGGACTTTGGACTGTTCTTTGGGTTCATATGAGTTTATGTTTTCTTAATGCATATTTAGACTTTACATGAGTGAACAGTGATGAGTGGGAGGATAGGAAAGTAAGACTAACTTCATTTTTTAAAATGTTATTGACTCGATTATAATATAGTACAATAATAAACTAATGACGCGCAATGAGCTAATGCCTCTGTCTTCGTTAGAATTTGAACTTGGGTGAATTTTTCCATAAATCTGGGGTACTAACTTCGTTTCAGCTGACTCATATCGTAAATTAAGTTATACCGAGTAATCTCAATTAAAAGAAGGATAACCATAGCTTAGAGTCTTTTTAAATCCGACCTATAAGGCATGTTTTGTGTGATAATCTCTCAGTGTAATTATCAGAATTCAAAATCGGATTTAATTTGATGATATTTGAAGTATTTGATACTAACCAGTTGAGCTACATTCACATCCAAAGAAAGAAGAAGGAAAAGGGTTGCTTTCAAGGTGGGGAGGAGCAATGTAAGGGGAAAGAGTGGGGGGGTGGGCAAGGAATCTTGGACTCTATTGCTCTCTTCTTTGTGAAAAGAAGAGGAAATTGATGCCAACAAAAGTGGCAACCCACTTGCCCTCTCCTACTCATCAATCACTTCTCATTCACCCAACATATTACTTCACCTTGGTTGAATGAATTCTTGATGATGGTAAAAAAAATATTTCATGTGGTAAAAAGTATTTGTTCAATTTAATTTTATAGAATGAGATATTTGGACCATCAATCAAATAAAAATTATATTAAATATTAGTATAAATTTTTTTTAATCATACGAGCATCTGTCTTATTAAACTCATGAAATTTATTTAATTGTATTAAAATGTAATACATATCTTATGTATTTGGCGATCAAAGTTGGTTTACTTTGACTTGTTTTACTAACACTATGTTTGGTTCAAGAAATTTGAAAGGGAAAAGAAAAGAAAATGAAGTGGAAAACCATTTTTCTTGTTTGGTTAGAGGGGAAAAAAAAGAAAAGTGGAAGGAAAAGAAAATGAGGAGGCAAAATGTACCAAGTGGAGGGAAACCCAAATTCCTTCCATTTTGGTGAGGAAAATGAGAGAAATCCATTTTCTTTTATTTTCCTTCCAAAATCCTTGAGCCAAACATAGTGTAAGTGTTTCGACCTTCTTTTTTTTTTTTATATATTTTGACTTGTCACCGACTCTGCTAGAAATAGTCTTGGTGTGTGTACATTTTGACGCATTATCCTTTTTGACACTTTTACCCTTTTTGACTTGTATGTCAAAAAAAATTTATCTTTCAAATACAATGTTGAGATCTTTTAATTCTTGTCAGCAAGATCTACCAGATTCTTCTTCAACCCCAAATCTCATTTGGTTGGATCAGCTGATGATGGAAATATTTGTAGTCGTAAAGTTTCTTTTTTTTTTAAATATATGAAATGATGTGAGATGACCTTTCTACCCTCATCATTGAGATATTACTATAAAAAATGCTTTTTTAAATTCAATTTAGCCATTTTATGTATATTTTCTACCATTTTTACCCTCACCAAACAGGGTCAACTTGAATAGAAACTTTGATTTTTTTAGTGATTGCAGTGACCTACAAAAGATTATTTTCTTTTCTTGTAAGTAATGATGAAAGGATGAGGGTATTTCTGGTATTCTCAAATCTCAAGACTTGTAGTGCAAAACGGAAATGTGGTCTTGTTTGGTTGCTGGAATGGGAATGGGAATGGGGTAAAACTGGACAGAAGTGAGGATTGGGCATTTGGAAAATATTTTATTTTTAATTAAATCAAAGGATTGATTGCCTTATCCTGTTATACATATACAGTCCAAAAACTGGATAAGAGGACCTGTAAGAATGAGGTTTTGTTCCCATGGAATGGTCTTTCATTAAAAGGATTGCACCCTATCCTCAAGGGACCCACCATTTCCACCCTCAATTTGGTTGAATGGGTTAAAGAATTAATGTTCACAAACAAGACTCAGACTCAGATAATCAGAACTCGTCTGCACGTAAGGGAGATTATCAGATTATAAAAACATTCTCGAGTCGTCACAACAAAGTAAATACATATTGTTGAGCTATACAAATTTGGATTTTTTGTTTATTTGATATACACAAAACTAAATATACATTTTTTGTGAACTATACATCTTGTTGGCATGAACCTTGGTCAATTGTTTATATCTTAGGTAACAGCCTTCACTCAATAATATTGTGACTTCTGAACCATTGTTTCAGACTCATGTAGTCATATGTCACTAAATACGAATTTGATCTCAAATTATGTATCAAAATAGGTGATTCAAAATATGAGTTTTACATAAAATTCACTTGACTTTAAAGATGAAACCATTAAAATGTTACTTGACGTTCAATATTTACACAGATGTGTTTGGGAGGTCTCAAATTTAAAAATATATTATGGAGTAATAAAGATATGGAAGAAAAGAAAAACCGAGTATCCCAAATTACAACCGGTTAGAAAATCATTTAGAGGATGAACAATGCGTTGACAGTAAGATGAACGAAGAAACGGATGAATTACAACTTGGTAGTTTAACAAATCGCGTAAACGCTTCCAGATCAAAGTTATTTTGGGATATACCAAAATACTTTAATCAGATAAGACATAAATCAAGAACAAGCACTTTGAATTCTGTACTCAAACATACCTAGTGAGACTCTTTTTAAAGAGTTGAAAACTTGGCGATCAGACATGAATGATCACGTAAGGAAGTGAACGTTCGCGCGTCAGAGATCGAACTGAACTTTGCTCTAGGGTGCAAGCATTCGCATGAATTTACTTTCGATTTTTGGGTCAATTTTTGGATCGAGGAATTGATTGCGCGAATTTATCCGTAATCTTTAAAGTTTTGGACTCCGCCCGATTTTCGACTTCGGCCAAGGGCTCTGCCCCTTGGACCCCGCTACCGGACTAGACCCCCGCTATAAATTTGTAATTTGTTGAACGAGTGCGCTGAATATGTTCTTTTCTGATTTAAGTAAACTCAATCACACAAAATAATCGATGAGACTAAAACCACCAACACAACTCACATTCTGCTAACTTCATTTCCCAATTCAAAATAACGTATTATTAAAAAATGTATAATTCCAAAACTGAATATAGAGTGTACTATTAAAAATGATCTAATAAAAGTCCTATGATCTTTCATGATGTGAAATCCTTGTGCTTGTTGCACAGTTGCATTGCACATGCCCCTTTAATCATGCAAGTGTGTCTTTGACTTTTTTTTTTATTTTGTTCAATATTTTTTTTACATAAAGATTTTTGCCTTTTATTGAATGGAGCTGTATTTCATTCATGACCACAATTAATTTGACAGATGGGATTTTTTAAAATTGAAGGGTCATTTTTTCTTGGACATTTTGGTAGGGAGTTATTGACAATTATTGCGAAATGCCAGTTTCTATTCAAGCAAAGGCATGCATTTGATAATGGTGGGCCCAGCTGTTTGCATTAAATTCAGTCAAATGGACAGCTAAATTTGAGTTTCATGAAGACTAGAGTGAACACCCATGGGTACATGGAAGTCTCCAAATATGGGGTCCAACATAATGAAATAATCTCAATGTCCTAAGTTTTTTTTCTAGTGGTTTTCTACCTTCTTTTTTACTCCAAAGTGGAGTAGTTGTTTATTTTGATTTTAAGTATTGTATTTTAATTAGTTTTGTAAGAAAATAAAAAATGAATTAAAATGAAGGTGCAATACAATATTTGGGCCCGACTTGAAAAGCCCAAAAACACAAGATCGCAACAAAGCAACAACACTCCTTCGGTATTTGTGTTCCACCACCTCAGCACTCAGCGAGATAATTGGCCCAACCACTCAGCGAGACAAACGGCCACATCGTAGCCTCCTGGCCCCACTCGACCCCTATGGTCTATGATCTGACACCCAAACTCAGAACACAACCAAAGGCCTATTTCACATAACTCGCGGTTGGCTCGTCCTCCACTCAGCTTTGGCCTACGGGAGATGTTTAGGTCTTTGAAGATTTTGGGAGACACATAAGATTTTTAGACATTTATGTCCAATCGATTGGGCCCATGAATAGACAAATATCCCCCTGTATAATGTATTTGTATAGTGTATGTACCAAAATAATACTTGCACATGTATAGACAACATATTCATGTACCTTCGTAGTACGTAGTAAGGGGCCCCATGACATATGAGTCTTGGCCCATTGCAATAGCTACACGATCATTATATAGGACACTGAGTCAATATAAATATTTTCTCAAATTCATGGGAAAGGGGAGCCTATTATCAAAAATCTCGCAATAGTATACATGAATATTGACATGAATTTCAGTAGTTTGTTCTTAGCTCTTCTCTATCTAGTTAACGTCAGGCCCAGATTTCTATAACTCATCAACCAGATTCCTATATAAAATTGCTCAGACCAGTTTGACCCATCGAACTTGGAAAACCAGATTGACCCAGACAAGTTATGGGTTTTAGAAAATTTAACATATATACAAGGCCGGTCCTGAGAATTTGATGGCTTGGGCCGAGATGGAAAAAAGGCCCTAAGATCTTTATCTTTATTGATTGAACAAATTAAAGTGCGTAAAATAATTACATTTAAATGATAATTAACATACTAGTATTATAAAAAAATGAGTAAATGAAAAAATCATAATAAGGGTTTATATCTACTTACCTCCCCAAACTAATCCCTTGAAAACAAGACCAAATATTGACTCCGACGAGCTAGTAGGACAAGGGTTAAATCAGTTGGAGATCAACGACTCGATCAACTACAATTAAAAGAAATATTTATATTATATTATTAAATGTCTTTAACTAATAAGGAATTTTAATTTGTGCTTTTCACTCTTCTATTTTGTTTTCAATATAACTTTG